AAATAATACATCTTGTTCAATAATTATATTTATTTATTAAAAAATATTGAAGGAAAATCACAACGAACCAAGAAAACAAACAATGTTAACAATTGCATGATACATAAAACCAAAGAGTTACAAAACAACCACGTATTTTAAGAAATGACTAAAACCGGAAACCAATTATTGGAATCTTGATAACTTTTTCATAATCTTTTAAACAACATTAGCATTTTTGAAATTTGTAAAGTTCAGTAGTGAAGCCCCCACTTCCAGGGCCACATCGTTAGGCTTGAGGGATTATAACGTTAAAAATCTAAGTTTGGTACCCACAATGGGTACAATGCAGATAGCCCAATGTGTAGCTTTGCAATTAAACTAAAACAAAAAGCAGTGGTGGATTATAGCCTGACATCTATTGATAACAATGTAAAACCTCACAGAGAATCCGTACAACTATCTAATCACTAATAGATGAGTCTGATATAAAAACAGTTTCTATTGTTGTTAATGATAAACTAATCCACTAATATCAGTGCAATGGGCGTTAAAACAGTATAGGTATAACAGAGATCATTACAAAACACTGAACGCTAAGAAGTAGGATTAGATTTAAAACAAAATTAATTTATTAGTATTATAATCCATGGTATTAGCAACGTAAATTTAAAAAAATCACAGCGTTGAATTTAAATACATATTAAAGAAAGATATTTCTAAATTAAAAGTATGCGTAACGAAAGCGGAAAGAAAAAAAGGCTATTGTTTGATTTAAAGTGTAATATATATGACTGAGACGCGTAACAACTGAAAAACACTGTTTATTTTGTACATCTTAATACTTTAATTAAATATTCGTTCAGTTGGTTACATCTGATAACTCATTAATAAGAAAAATAACAGCGGACAATTTTTATTTTACAGCTGGTACATTTACCATGTAACGCGATGTACTATCTAAAGGATCAAAACATCCAATCAAATGAGCGAACTGGCAAGTTTCCCATGTAACACGATGTACTTAACTAAAGGGTTAAAACATCCAATCAAATGAGCGAACTGGCAAGTTTCCCATGTAACACGATGTACTTAACTAAAGGGTTAAAACATCCATTCAAATGAACGAACTGGAAAGTTTCCCATGTAACGCGATGTATTCACTAATGGACTGAAATATCCATTCAATAGAGTGAACTGGTTTTCCCATATAACGCGATGTACTTACTAAAGAACTGAAATATTCATTCAATAGAGTGAACTGGGAAGTTTCCCATGTAACGCGATGTAATGGGAAACTTCCCAGTTCCCTCTATTGAATGGATATTTCAGTCCATTAGTGAAATAACGCGATGTACTTACTAAAGAACTGAAATATCCATTTAATAGAGGGAACTGGGAAGTTTCCCATGTAACGCGATGTATTCACTAATGGACTGAAATATCCATTCAAATGAGTGAATTAGCAAGTTTCCTAAATAACGCGATGTACTTATTACAGGATTGAAACATCCATTCAAATAAGCGAACTTTAGTATTTAGAAATAACCAAATAATTTTCTTCAAGTTCCTAGTTTGAAAATCTTGCATTTCTTTTTACTGTAATGTAAACACGGAGTGAAAAAGCGTATGCCCTACTTCAGAAATTCTAAGCAACTTTCGAACGTTTCGCGAAACTTTTGCTGCACCTAAAGTGCCAATACGAAAACCAAGTACGTACAAGGTCATGACGTGTTACATTTCACACTACACACACGTACAAAAATGTGTCGGCGCCTCTTGGACGCAACACGTGTAAAGCAACATTTTCAGTGATTCATTTATTTTATTATTTATTCTAATTACTGGCTTGATATTTATTACAAACGTATCTTAAACTAAACTAATAGCCATTAATTGATTGTTTTAGTTTTAAACTAGCCTTGTCTCATTGATTGATTGTTTTAGTTCTAAACTAGCCTTGTCTCATTGATTGATTGTTTTAGTTCTAAACTAGCTTTGTTTCGTTGATTGATTGTTTTAGTTCTAAACTAGCCTTGTCTCATTGATTGATTGTTTTAGTTCTAAACTAGCTTGTCTCATTGATTGATTGTTTTAGTTCTAAACTAGCCTTGTCTCGTTGATTGATTGTTTTAGTTTTAAACTAGCCTTGTCTCATTGATTGATTGTTTTAGTTCTAAACTAGCCTTGTCTCATTGATTGATTGTTTTAGTTTTAAACTAGCCTTGTCTCATTGATTGATTGTTTTAGTTCTAAACTAGCTTTGTTTCGTTGATTGATTGTTTTAGTTTTCAAGATTTCGCGCAAATCTACACAAAGGGCTATCCGCCTATAGCAGTTTAATTTCGAGGAAATAGACTAGAGGAAAAGCAGCTAGCTAGTCAAAAGGATCCACCGTCAACTACAAGCCTACTCTTATCTGATCGAATACTGGAATTTGTCTGACATTTACTAACGGTCCCAAAGTTAATAAGCACCTTTTTTTTTCAGATATATATTGTTTCACACACATAAAGGTTCTAAATTACTGTAATCATACTTTTACGCAAGTATCATAATAACTGATGGTCTTCATATCATGTACAAAAACGTTACTACGATTTACAAAGAGAAAATTTAACGTTCTTTTCTTTAAATCTGGTGATTTGGTTTGCTTCTTTTGAGGATAATTCGTGATTAATGTCCTTTCAAACGTGGAAAAGCTTTTTTTTTAATGGTGATATCTAAAATATTTAAAGAAAAAGCCTTGATGATGGAATGGTAACGTTCTTACATTTTAACGATATGCTGTACGATAACGGTCTTGTTAATATTTCTTACCGATAGAAGTTATTTAGTACAGAGGAATTAATATATACATATTATCAGAACACAAAATTTCCAAAACTAGTCACAATTATACATTTGGTTTTTAGATTTTTTTTTCAGCTAAACTGTTTTACAAACAAAATTCGCATTCTTCATTAAAACTGTACACAGTTCTGGAGGCAGGTTTCTTCAGGCCCATGTAAACAAACAAAACAACGTGGAGCAACTGTTGGCAAAACGTTTGTTTCTATTTTAAAACCTCCCGTTTCTTTTTACCTTTGTTTATAATTTTAGTTTTTCAAACTTTGGAACATACTTAAAAACATTTAAAAAATAAAATAACCTTATTAAAACACGTTCTGCTTAATTCTTGATTAAGCCACTATAACATTTTTGACGTGTTTGAGTTAACCTGCTAAATCTGTGTTCTAGCACACCTTATTGCTGTCATGTTTAAGTTAATCTGATAAGTCTGTGCTCTAATACAGCTTACTGCTATTATGTTTGAGTTAATCTGCTTTTGAACACAGCTTAACATATGAAACACGTGTTTTAATATAGGTTAAAGCTATCTTAGAATAAGTTTTCGTTAACGTAATGAACCTGTTTTCTAGCATATGGTAGACTGGTTTAGAATACGTTCAGGGCTAGCCTTATAAAGTCTGTTTTTTTAATGAAGGATACAGCTGCTTTAAAATATGGCTGAATTTCCTTAAACAGTTTTCAGCTCTCACAAAATATAGTTTGGTAGTTTGTTAAACCAGGTTTTAAACAGTTTAAAACTGCCATAAAATATCCGAGTTATCTTTCTAAGCCTACTTTATAACACAGCTTGCAGATGTAACAAAATATTGTTTAAGTTAGTATGCTGAATCAATGTTATATCACAGTTTCACCTACATTAGAATGCTATAAAGTTGAAAAGTAGTTTACTTAACATCAGTTTAGATGAATGAAACCCGAAATATCTAACACCTCAGTTTCACAGCACAACAAGAAGCTCATAACATAGCAGATACGAGACCTCAGGTAAGGTGAATTCAGTAATTGAGACGGTGCTGGTGGAGTAATATAGGCTTACCACTGCACTAACTAACCATGTTGTACCCCACACAGTGATAAAGCATTGAAGTCATACTAGTATTCTACAAGATTTCAATGAACACAAACTCCTCTACATGAGCACGATCAGTAATCTATCAAATCTTGCTTACATTGTATGCAGTCACTGCAAAGAATGGAACACACACCGAGTTATGTTTCATATGTCTGGTACATTATTAAAGGTGGTGTCACCTACATTGTATGCTTTAAAACCTTATATTCTGAATCTTAGGTTTCATTCTTCTACCATATATCGTTTATCATATGTGTCCCCTTGTCTAATTTCCTCACATAATGTAAACAAAAAGGCATACAAATTACATTTAAAGGTTAAAAGAAGCCAGTGAGCCTTTTGAAACTCAAGGCTAATTAGTTACCAGTTAAAGATGTATATGTTTCAAATAAAACAATATTGATAATATTATGATGCAAGAACACAAGTTTGGAAACAATTTGTTACACTTTCATAAACACAAACAATTAATGTACCCATTATTAGAAATCTTCTAAAACAAAATGGCAAAAAAACTACTAAAAAACAGTCTTTGCACATAATAATTTGAGTTGCTATTCTAAGTGTTTTAACTTAATACATTTTAAAGAGGCTCTTTTCATGAATTAGGTACATTTTGTAAGGAATATTCATAACAAACATAAAAATTAATTTAAAACAAATAACACATGAAAGTTACCAAAGTGATTTTTTTTGGCTATATGGGCTTTTACAAATTTTACAGACAGAGACTATTTTATGCCTACACCAATAAAATAGAACAAAATATATATATAACTGAAAGATAATAAACCAACAACAAAAGTACAGTTGATTCCAAATATTTTATAATACAATAAATCTTGTATGTTTGCAACTGATTCATCAGGTGAAAAACGAATTTTATAATAAATATTAAAAACATGGTAATAGCAAAAAACATGTTTAATACAGTCATTTTGGAATTTCTTTAAATTCCATCATCAGTGTTAATATCTAAAAAAAATAGTTAATATTCAAACTACAAAAAACAATATTAGCATTGAGTGAGTTTTCATATTCAATATTTTTAGGTATTAATAATGCTGATGATGGAATTTAAGGAAATTCTGAAACATCAGTATTAAAGATGTTTTTTGGTACTACCATGTTTTTAATATCTTGTATGTTTTATCACAACTTACTAAACACTATTAAAAACTATTGAAATACTTTCCAGTTTCAATAATTCTGTATTTATAAATTTACTTTGTCAAGAAATGGGGTTATTGAAAATTTAAATCAATGCTTATTACAGGATAATACTATCAAGTGCCTTATTCCATTATTATTTTCAATTAGTTACTAGTATTTATCATAGAGGGCACTATGGACATTAGGGGAGGATACAATTTTTCCAAGTGAACTTCTAAAACAATAAAAAAAGCTAACTCATCTTAGTTACAACTATAAAAACAAATAACAAGAAAACCTTTAATCTACAAATAGTCTATTATGGAGAAAAACAAAGACTTCAATTTAAAACCTGCAAGTTACAAACCACAATACAATATATAGTGTGTGTTTCAACACAACCAAAGACTAACATTTAACCATGTCAGTCATCGTCTGCTACTTACACATCTTAAAGTTACAGACACTTACACAGCAAATGTCTGAGCAAGACTAGATATAATAACCTGAATCTATCAGGACCTTGCTGTATACTATTCCTTCTATGGGGCACACGTGTGAATACCATAGCAGTATGTCATAGCAACATAAAAACCTATATCCAGATTTTAAACTCAACTTTTCACTGGTCTTTTGTTTATGGTGTATACTCTCTTTTTTTGGATTTAGATATAAACAAAGTAAGTATTCTTTGCAAAGATCATATTATTCTAAGATGTTACTTTTTTTATATGTATAAACATAATACTTGCACTGTAGAATTTGGACCATTATTTCAAAAGTTATTTCTGACACTATATGTAGTACCTAATAAGTGAACTATTAAGCATGGTGTAATATTCTTCTGGTTAAACTATTAAGCATGGTATAATATTCTTCCGGTTAAACTATTAAGCATGGTGTAATATTCTTCTGGTTAAACTATTAAGCATGGTGTAATATTCTTCTGGTTAAACTATTAAGCATGGTGTAATATTCTTCTGGTTAAACTATTAAGCATGGTGTAATATTATTCTTGTTAAACTACTAAGCATGGTGTAATATTCTTCTGGCTAAATTATTAAGCAAGGTGTAATATTCTTCTGGTTATGAGAATTTCTAGCATATTTCTATCTCATATTTCAAAGAATCAAAGCAAGAAGAAATATTCACATAATAACAGTGCCATGCTACCAGCCTTAAATATAGTTTTGTCATAGAAAATCCAGCACACACACAGATGCATGCTAACTCTTCAACTTAAACAGAACATTGAAGAGTAATTGTGTGGGCAATACTCTATAGTTTCATGATTTTATTATGTTTATTATGAACATCATACTTCAACCTATATTAGCTAGTATTCACATTTATAAGATTTTAAATTTGTATAGAGCTGACCATTAAGAAACAGTGTGGATCATTATGCCTAGTTTCTAGATGTTCCATTAAATGGATGACACAGATAGATGCACTGTAGTAGGCTATATTTTTAAACTGGATATTTCTATAGGTTTGTATTGTTATTTGGCCAAAGGGTGGTTTAACATTGCATGGTAGGCAAGTAAGTGCATATGAAATTGTTGTATTAGTATCTTCTGTGAACTTAGAACTATTAATGAATGTTAGTTAAACTAACATAAGATTTTGTAGTAAAAGATATAAAACGTTTTTAAAAAAAATCGTTAAGCAGATTGGACTTTGTATTATTTTCTACTGAATAACCTACAAGAACCCACCACCAACAGAAACCATTGAAACAGTATTAAAGATAGTGAGAAATATTTTTGAAGCATACCACATTTGCTGAAGCCTAAAAATACAAAATGTGCTCATTATGGTGCTGTTGTTAAGTTGTATACAAACAAATAGTATCATATTATACAAAGAATTCCAAGCCAGAATTGGCATACTTGTGTGTGTAGTAAGTTTCATTCATCACAGTACACATATATCCTTGACATGTAAATGCTAAACGTGTATAACTACATGCATACTTGTGTGTGTAGTAAGTTTCATTCATCACAGTACACGTATATCCTTGACATGTAAATGCTAAACGTGTATAACTACATGCACACTTGTGTGTGTGTGTGTAGTAAGTTTCATTCATCACAGTACACATATATCCTTGACATGTAAATGCTAAACGTGTATAACTACATGCATACTTGTGTGTGTGTAGTAACTTTCATTCATCACAGTACACATATATCCTTGACATGTAAATGCTAAACGTGTATAACTACATGCACACTTGTGTGTGTGTGTGTAGTAAGTTTAATTTCATCACAGTACACATATATCCTTGACATGTAAATGCTAAACGTGTATAACTACATGCATACTTGTGTCTGTAGTAAGTTTCATTTCATCTCAGTACACATATATATCCTTGACATGTAAATGCTAAACGTGTATAACTACATTAACCTCTGCAATTTCCAGTTTCTTATCTTTTCTTGAGTACATATTTTATAACACATTTTTATTAAAAATTCACTAACTCATTTGTTTTTCGTTGTTGGTTCTTTATCTAAGAGAATTTAAATATTAGTAATGGATGAAACATTTTCAACAGGTGAGGGATACAAAAAGTGTTGATAAAATTATCTCCATATGTATTACTGTAATTTTAGCATAAACGAGATGTAAGAAACCACTACCAATACATTTAGGGATATGAATATACTTAGAAAACCATTTGACTTTTTTGGGTCATTCAATTTATGTGCATTGCTATTTTAAAAGCACATTTTTTTAAACTTGGAAGACTGATGTCTGAGGCAACTATATAACCACAGATTTGGTACACAAAAACAAAATGTCAAATCAGCTAAGTACAACTGCACGCAATGAAAAAGAATAAACTTGAAACTGATACATACATGCACACACACATACATACAATAGATGTAAAGTGTCTATTAGCTCTAAAAGAGCCTTTGTTTTGACTTACTCATAAAACAGTTCTATTATTTTTCTATGTTAGATCTACGTATAGGATTAAACCTATATATAAGCATAATATACATGCTCTATATATACTAAACAGTAAAAATGGAATAAAACTGTAATTTTACACATTTCTCACAACTTTAAGTAACATTATTTTTGAATGACTTAGATAGATAAAATAAAAAAACAGGTCAGAGTATTTTTATATTTAAGTGTGTTTGAAATGGAATTAAATTAGAGCAGAAATAAGTGCCATTAGTTTGTAAAATAAATAATTACCACATATCATATAAAATCACGGGTTTGAACCTTTTCATGCATTGTGATAGAGTGGTTGTTACTGCTTGTTTGTTCCCTCTTTATGTAGGCTGGGCATGACGTACTGGTTAATTTGTCCACACTGTAGACCTGAGGGTCCATGATCCATGTTCTCTTGCCACAAAAATGTGCTCTGCAAATTTGGGAATGTGGGTACATTATAAGAATGATGGTAATATCCAACTATTCAATTTTAGTAGCCCAAAAGTTGGTGGTGGGTACTGTTGACTAGAAGCCTTTCCTCTAGACTATCAGTTCAAAATTAGGGACAACTATTGCTTTTGTGTAACTTTGTGCAACTATCTGAAACAAACCAAACCTTCTTTAAGTTCATCAACCTCTCTGTAAAATTCTTGATAACATGTTACTCTTACATATGGTAATTTTTTGGTATGAAAGTGCTACTTTGATATGTTACTCTATAGAAATAATCATATACATCATGAAGTAGTATTTTATCTTTAAAAAAACTTGGAGGTTTTGTGTTTGAGCAGGTTATAATATTGATCCACAAATGGAGTTAGTTAATACAAAACAAGTAGGAGAAATAAAAAACTAAACTTGTTTGCAGAAAAACAAAAATAATATTGAACCATTAAAAGCTCTCATAAGTTAAACATTAGAAAAAACAGACTCAAACAATGGTCTAATCATTATGATTCCTAACTTTTGCAAAGCTGAACATACAGCAATCTTCATACCATACTAAATACTAGTTTTATGTCTCATCAAAATATTGATGAAATATTAGTCATTGTTAGCTTGAAAAATCATAAAATTCTAGGTCATGGACAAACATTTAAGTATGTTAAAAAACAAAGTTCTATGAATAGAAATTATGACTACTTGTTTCAGATATAAATTATTCTATCAGAACCATATTTAACAACCAAGAAAAAGGTTCTCTAGCTAAACGTCTTTAGTTTCACTTTTTTCATAACAATAATTATAAAAGTTGTAATCTCATTTCCATTACCCAACAGTGATAACACTGTTGGTTGAGTACAACAAAACAAAACAACAACAAAAAAAAAAGATAGAAAAAAATGGGTACCACTGATAAAAGGTACCATAATTGGGAAACATTTCTGGACTAGAATGCTGACGATGAAGTATCAGGAGTCAATAAAACTAGCCAGTTCTTGTTGGATATCCCGAAATTCCTGGATTTTCTGGGCAAGGCGCTGATTCAGTTGCTCCAGTGTTGCTCTCTTAGAATAATTGGTGGCTTTAGCAGCATCAACTTGTTCTTGTAGTTTGCCAATGCTTATTCTGAGTCCTTCATTTTCCATAAGCAAGACCTAACATACAAATAACAATTGTACAAAGTGATCTCTTTAATTTTGAAGAACAAATGATATATATTCCAGATTTAAAAATCCTTTTTTTTTTTCATTTGCAGTTTCTGTATGGACTAATAAACATTTTCTCATATCAAATGCTGAAACACGTCACATTGCTGTTCTTTTAAAACATACTTGTAAACCTTTTTAGCTTTTACCATCCTTTACCAATACACAATATTCTGTTTTTGTAATCACACTACAAGTAAAGGATCTGTATTTATCAAAACAATACTGCAAAGCCATAACTATGACAAAATAACAGAAAAAAAATCTATGTTTGCTCTAGAATCTACTAAAACCTCATCCAAGTTTTACAAAAGTGTAACAAAATCAGATGAAATCAAGTGTTTCAAACTTTATTGATTTCTCAATTATAAAACAGGGCGATTAGGGACGGATGCATTTTTCCAAATGATGACACATCCACTGCCAAGTCTCAGTTCTTGAAGACAAATAAATTTTGTGGATAGGTGGCTCTAGTGTAACACAATATTGTAGCCCAATTGGATCTAATGGGGTCCATGATCTAAAAAAATTACTGTCTCCTTAATTACCTCATTACAAGGTGATTAGGGGTGAACATTAAGAATTACCTATATTCCCTTTTTCTCCAACACTGGGGTTTTGAAAAGAAGGTAAATGGGAGTAAACTGAAATGGTAAAAAAAAACATTGTTTTGTATGAGAAGGTAGTGTTATGGTTCATTGAAAATTGACATTAAATTTAATATAATGGAAATACTGTGATAACTATAAGTAAACTTAGATGACATAGATTTTGTTCCTAATCACCCAATTTTATGGCATATTTGGTACAAATACTATAGGTGGATGTAATAATGAGGTAAACACATCTCATCTTTAATATTTTATATCATAGATTACAGATTTAAAAATATTTAAAAAACATATTTCATATCTTTCAACTAGATTTGCAAATTTGTAACTTTTTTTTTTTCAAAGTTTAAGGTGACTTACTGATTAAGAAAGTAACAACTTTTATGAAATTTATGTTGAACAAACATACATAATTTACCAAAAGCATAAAGTTATTATGTTTTTAACAGAGGGTTAATGAAAATATAAAAAATCGAATTCCTTTAAGAGATGCCAAACCTGACAGTTTTTATCAAGAATAGATGTAGCAGTATTCAACAAAAAAATCTAAACCATTAGATTTAACAAATTTATTATATACTTACTGTGAGATTTCTGGAGAATGTTTTATATTATCAATTAAAAGGACTTAGGGTATATGGAACTAAGTGGAATGAATATGAATAAAAAAGAAAAGTAGAGAACAGTTGTATAATGTTGCTAATAAACAACAGTTTGATCAAAAAACTTATGACGTATTTCTTCCAATTGATAGAGTATTGTAGCATGATACATCTATTAAAGCTTAAGTTACACTGTTGTTCCTATCAGTTAAAGTTACACATGCTCTAACTGGCTGAATGTTCGTATTTAACCCAAATTCTAATATACAAACAAAAAAATGTTCTAAGTTTGACGAAACATGTAAAATTCTTTATGAAATGTATCTAAAATGATTTTAATAAATCCTGTTTTTGATGTTTAAACAGGTTAATTTTAAACAAATGAGGAGAAATAAGATATGTTAAAAAATTACTCTAATCACAGTATATTATACTTTACACACACCTTTAGTTTGTCTTCAACTTTCACATTTGGTACTTGAGGTTCGTCTAATTTCTTCTTCAGAAAGTTCACTTCCTGAGAATATTTAACAATACATGAGATAACGTAGAGTATACTAAATAAACTCTCAGAATAAATCAAAAAAGCTTCAGTTAAGGCAAATTACTCAGCTTAGCTTCCTTCCAAGCTTATATCTGATAGAAGCATCTTTCTAACTGGGATGAAATTAATCAACAAATCAAATGAGGAAACAGAGAGAGAAAACAGTATTTAAAATGCTCAAGACAAATAGCATCCGATGAAATGAAGGCATTCTTTTTTTTCCTTACAAGACTGCAACAACCAAACGTGTGGTGTATGAAGCAGAAATTTAAGGTTTCTCCAATCATTATGGAGAACATTTATTCTTATGACAACATTTTAGTATAAATTAATGAAGTAAAAACTTTGGATATCTTTTATGAGTTCATTATCATAGGCTATGGTTGATGTCAAGATTAATGAACTCGTTGTATCATCTAATTATTATATAACTATTTTCCCCTTAGATAAAATAATATCAGAAGTAGTTAACTAACAGATTATGATGTTGGTAATTTCAATGTAATAGATGTGATGGATAGGATGTTGTGATAATTGCATTTTAGAACTAAGGAACTAGCTGTGATCACCATGAAAAGTTGGACAGGTTTATAAATGAGCCATTTTCTTTATAATGTGTAATGATCAAATGCTAGAGAGCTTACAGCTAGTTGTGTTCTAGTGTGATATATTAAGGTAATACTGAGTTTTCCTAAGAGCAATGGGATAGGTCCAATGAATAACAGGAGGTTCTGCAAAATATAAATTATGAAATAAATCTGATTTTTCTGAATACTTTAGTTCATTAGAACAAAATAAAGAGACTAAACACACATGAACAATCTTTACTATAACACTTACACAAACACAATGTGTGTACTTGTTTTAGAGACTTGGGACAGTTGCTTGTACTGGATTGGTAGATGTTTGCTCTCCAAACTGATTTCTTTAAAACTGTGTACCAGACTGTTTATATTCAACATTCCTTACTTTGCAGGTAGCAACAGATGTACCCAGAATGACTGGTCATCCTCATTCAAATACAGAGTAGGCCTTAACCTCAAGATATCGCCTGTTCAACAATAGAAGGACGTTGCTGTCTATTTCTTGCACAATGTAAAGAATTACAGCCATACCATTCATGGGGAGAACAGGTATTATCTCCAGAGAATGAAAAAGGCAGTTAGAATCAACTTTGTTGACCACATGTTATGTGCAAACTGCAAATACTCAGAATAACTGATAAACTTATTATAATACTATATTAATATAAGAAGCTAGAAAATCCATGGTATGTTTATATACAACACTAATAACATCAAAATGGCTGCAGAAAGTTCTTGTATTAAGGCTGTTAACCTTATTCAGGCATAAACATGATTTTTGATAGCAGGAATAATTACAAAAGATCTGCCATTATTAACACAGGGACAACTATAAGATTGACAATATTGCTTAAATACTATTTTAAGCTCTTTGTTTCAAGTATTTAAAATTTGTTTATTATCTTTACCTTGAATACAATTCAATAACAACTATATTAATCCATGTTGTATCTTTGTGAATTTCTTCCATAGTTTTGGAGCTAGTAATACCAAACTTGGTAGGCAGAAACAGGTTGGCCAGGAGTGTCCTTTTCAATACATTGGAGTTCCCTACCACGGGGCTAAAATACGCCAGAAGGTCACCCAGTGATGGGTTGCTGAAACCAAATCTGGAATTTGTGTTCCTGGTTCCCCCCATGGGTGCCCAGAAAAATATTATCAGGGGGGGGGGGGCAAAACACGTATGTAGGGGATCAGATTTTTACAGTGTAAGTCAACAGACTAAAATAATATGTGTTATGTGTGCTTAAACGCAAACACAACTTTACAGTTTTAATATAAATTACTAAAAATATTTAGTTTAACTACGATGTTAAGTGTAGATCATAATATGTGCAATTTTTTGTGAAATGTGGCTCCCTTCAAGATCCCGTGGGTGCCATATTTAAAACTGTGTTTATGCTCCCTCACATATGCTCAGGTACCACAGGTGGGTGTCATAATGTTTTTTTGTTTTAGATATGGCTCACCTCTGAGATAGCTATAGCCTTACCTACCAAGGGGACTATAATACACCTGGAAGGCTACTCAAGGGTGTTAGGAGCAGGATTTCAGGGTTGCTGAACCCAAATCTGGCATTAGAGCCTGTGGTGTAGGTACAGAAGTGAATCATAAATGGACCTTTGAACCCAATAGCAGAGCATGGTTATTTTATTCCTCAGATATATGATCTTACATGAGTCATCTTAAATCTATTATAAATGGGGAGGAATGTATTTCAAATTGGTCTATTGTTTCCATATGAAACCGTAACATTAAGTTTAAAGTCAAAGTATAAACTTCTGTCCTTTGGTCTTCTTAAATAAATATTTTGTATACAAATGGAAAAAATTTCTACCTTATCTTTTCTTTTGATTTCTGTAGCTAAGGAGTCTCCTTTGGCTCGAAGATTGATGACTTCTTGGGTTAGCTCTGTTAAAGCCTCTGTGTTTCCACTTACAGCTTCTAATTCAAGTATCTATACAGTACACAATATATGTATATTTAAATCTGTTTAACAGGAACATTTACAGAAAAATAAAGGGATTCATTTGTGATGCTAATTTGTAAAACATCTAATAATTTCAAACTTTATAACTCATTCTAATAGAAGTGTTTGTTATGCAAGTGTAGACTGAAAACATACACTAACAACATCTTGTGCAGCACATATTCCTGCAATGTATATTTTTCTAAATGTGGCTAAAATCTAGTGTATACTAACTCAACCAAAACTTTGTGTATTTCATAGCTATACACATAAAATGTGTGTAACTGTATGCTAATTTAAGAAAACAAATCAGCAGGTTTCTGATTCTTGCATCATAGTTCTATAATACTTATAAATACTTACAGCCAAAAATATTATTAACTGATGTAACAACGCATTTTAATCTTTGTAAGTAGATACATACATAACAAAAGTATATTTAATTAATTATTTTGATGGCTAGGTTGTTTTTTAGTTTCACTCTTATGTACATAGCTTACTCTGATCACAAGATATTATTATATATATATACACCTGGAAAAAAGTTAAGCACCCCCGTGTTTTTTTCAAGTGATTCAGATTCGACGTTCTTGTGACTGATTATAAATTACCATTCAATCTAAACGTGTTTATCAAAT